GGACCATATGAATTTGTCGATTCGCGACTGTAGCTGTTTGAAGTCTGGGGTATGGAGTGGGATCGGGAGAGTTTGAAATAAGTATAGCAGTCTGGGTAGGAGGTTCATTTTGACTGAGGCCAGTCGTCCTAGCCAGGATATCGACATGTTCTGCCAGGTAGCAAGGTCGTGTGTGAGTTTTTGTATGGTTGGGGTGTAGTTCTTAGAGTATGTTTGGGTGAGATCTGTTGTTAATGTAATGCCTAAGTATTGTATTTGGGTAGAGTTTAGCTTAAAGGGGTATGTCCTCTGTAAGTGCGCTAGCGTAGGAGGGTCTATGTGTATGGGTAAGGCTTCTGTTTTATCAATGTTGAGCTTGTATCCGGATATTGCGGCATACTGCTCTAGGGCTTGCATGAGTGGGGGCAAGGAGGCTGTTGGGTCGGTGATGGTTATAAGCAGGTCGTCTGCGTACGCTGCGGTCTTGTATTCTTCTTCACGGATTTTGAGGCCTTTTATAGCTGCGTTTCGTCCAAGGTTCTGTAGAAGTGGTTCTAGAGATAAGGCGAATAATAATGGGGATAGGGGGCATCCCTGACGGGTTCCATTGTGTATGGTGAACATGGGTGGTTGTATGAGGGGTAGTTGGAGACTGGCTCTCGGTGAAGCGTATAGCGTTTGTAGGGTTTCTAGGAATCCCATGGGGAATCCGAATTTATGGAGGGTTGCGAATAGGTATGGCCAGAGCAGCCTGTCGAAGGCCTTTTCTGCATCAAGTGATAGTATTAGAGTGGGGATCTGTTTCGACGTTGCGGCCCATATAAGGTCGTATGTTCTTCCGGTGTTGTCGCTGGCCTATCTCGTGGGGATAAAACCTACTTGATCGGGATGGATGAGTTGAGGTAGGTAGGGGCATATCCGATCTGCCATGAGTTTGGTGAATAATTTTATGTCCACGTTAAGTAGGGAAATGGGTCTGTAGTGTCCCGGGTCTAAGTGTGTTTTATTGGGTTTGGGAAGGAGGCAGACTGTGGCCTGGAGCATCTCTTGTGGTAGTGGGTTGCCTTGTAGGATGGCGTTATAGAGGTTGCATAGATGGGGGGAGAGTGTGGGGGCGAATGTTTTATAGTACACTCCTGTGAACCCATCCGGGCCTGGGCTTTTGTTTGGTTTGAGTGATTTCATGGTGCCCGCGAGTTCTTCTGGTGTTATCGGGTCCATTAGTTTTTGTGCTGCTTCATTTGGCAGGGACGGCAGCGGGGTATGTGTTAGGTAGTGGTCGATGAGTGTTTTGGTGGCGGTTGGGTTCTGCCGTGTATCGGGGTCGTGGTCATATAGGGACGTGAAATAGTTTTGGAATACCTCTGAAATCTTGTTGGGGTCCTCTGTTATGTTCCCATTCGGTGTGGCTATTTTAGTTATCTGTTTCTGGGCTGCGCGGTGCCTGAGTTTTCGTGCCAATAGAGTGTCGGCTTTGTTTGCCTTATCATAAAAGAGTTGTTTGGTCCACAGTAGGGCTTTTGTCGAGTCTTTTTTCATGTGCTCTTTTATTTCCGTCTGACATTTCGTGATTTTGGCCGCCACTTCTGGCGTAGGATCGGATTTTAGTTTGGTCTCTAGGGTTCTGAGTGTTGCCAGTGTGTGTTCCAGGTGAGAAAGTTGTTTTCTCTTGTGTATGGTTGCTTAGTTTATTAGTGTCCCCCTGAGGACCGCTTTGTGAGCCGCCCATAGGGTGCATTTGGAGTCCACCGAGTCTTTGTTAAGTTCGAAGTATTCGGACAGGGCCTGTGTGACCGTTGTGCGGATCTGTGGGTTATGAAGGAGGGTGGGGTTAAGCCTCCATGTCCACGGTCGGGCGGTGCCCGGGATGGTGAATGTTAGGGTGGTGTCTGCATGGTCAGACCAGGTAATCTGGCCTATGGGCGTGTTCTTGAGCGAGGGTACTATCGCCGGGGATATTAAGATAAGGTCTATGCGGGAGTGTGATTGGTGTGGGTGGGAGAAGAAGGTGTAATCTAGTGTTGTGGGGTGTTGAGATCTCCAAGCATCTATGAGGTGGGTCTGGTCTAGGAATGTTGCGAAGAGTTTGTCGGCTTTTGACGTTGGGGGTCGGCGTTGTGTGTGGGATCTGGCTCGGTGTCTGTCGACGGTGGGCGATGGAGTGGCATTGAAGTCTCCTCCGATGATCAAGTGGTGGGAGGGGAATAGTGCCAGATGTGCTCTAAGGGTGTTCCAGAAGGAATTGGAGGGTATGTTGGGTGCGTATACCGAGGTAAACGCATATTGTTGTGGGCCGATTTTGCCCTTTATCATGAGGTATCTACCCTGTGGGTCGGCTATGGTATGGGTTACTGTGAGGGGGCATGACTTCCGTGTGATGATGGCAACTCCATTTTGTTTGCCCACCGGGGAGCTGGCGAAGTAGTTCACCCGATAGTGTCGGCTCAGGAGAGGGAACTGTTTGGCTTGGGTGAAGTGCGTTTCCTGGAGTAGGAGGATATCCGCCTTTGTGTTATTGGCCCACCTCATGAGTTGGTGCCTTTTGGAGGGGTTGTTTAGGCCTTTGCAATTGATCGATAGGCAGGTCAGAGAGGCTGGCATCTTTCGCGGGCTGGGTGTTTGGGTAGGGATGGAAAGGGGGGGAAGAGGGAGGAGAAAAAAAAAAAAAAGGGGGGGTATTAGTTTGTTGCTAGGGGTTTTAGAGTGAACGTGCCTGGTCTTACTGAGCTGCTGCCAGGCGTCGTGTGGGCGGAGGGTGTTACGTCTGTAGGCTTGTTTTCTGTGTGTGGTTTATGTCCTAACCTCGGCCTCTGTCCCAAGTTGGGTTGGGGAGAGTGCCGGGGGTGTGTCGTCCGTGTGGGGTCGTGGGGAGAGGACGGTCGGAATACCGGGCGCTGTCCTCCCCGGGATTCTTCGGTTGTCGGGTTTGGTTATTACGCATGGTGTGGTGGGGGGTTAGTCCCTTATGCGATTTGTGGTCTACCCTGGGGTGGGTTGTTGTGTGGTTTGGTACGGGGAGTAGTCAGGTGTGGGTGTGCGGGGTTGCCTTGTGCCGCTGAGGTCAAGGCGTAGGGGGGTTTAGCCCCTGTGGTGAGTTGCTCTGCCTGTGGGGGCGTTCCAGAGTCCTGTGGGAGGTGGTGCTGTGGCAGTCATCATTTTGCGGTCTGTTGGGGGGGTTTGGCATGGAGTCCCCTCGGGTGTGTGTTAGGTGGGGGGGTAGGGCGTGGTGCGGGGTCTGGTGCCCTTGATGGTTGGGGGTTGTTATGGTATATGGCTTGGCGGTTGGCGGGGTTGGTTTGTGCATGAGCGAGGTGTCCCTCGGGCCTCTGTGTTGAGATTTGTGATTTTCACGGTGCCCTGAGTGATATCCAAGTGTTGTGTTCCTGCCTTGCTCTAAGTTATTTAGGTCAGCTATTGGGGGTTGTGGCTAACTGGGGTGTCCTGGGTTCTCCAGGCCAGGTGGTCTGCTGTGGGTGTCGGTGGCCCTGGTTGTGTATCTAGTGCGGTCTCAGTCCCATAAGTGGTCCTCGTATCTTATTGGTAGGGGGGTGGTCAAACGTCCGCTGTGCGTGGGTGGCACCGTGTGCCCGATGAATGAGTTAACAGAGCTTGTGGTAGGGTGTCAATACCGACCCTTGGCAGTAGCATTTAACAGCAAGCACATCCTTAACAGTATAGCATTTAGTAGAAAGCAGTTCTACACATTGGGTGAGTGACCTTTGACGGTAGTCATTAAGCATTGAGCTAGTCCATGATATTAGAGCATTTAGTGGCCTGCAATGAACATATTGGGCTAGTAACCTTTAACATTGGTTGTTGAACCTTAATCTAGTCTATAACAATAAAACACTTAGTAGGGTGCGGTGAACACGCTGGGTATCGGGCCTGCTACTGTTTGTCTGAGACAGTATTACATTCCTAACTGGGTCTCCCCTCTGCGCTGGGGGTCAGGGGTGTAGGTTGGTTTGGGGGGTTTGCTTGTTACCTCGTGGGACGTGCGCGGTGATGGTGGGAGGGCGACCGGTGTGCTGTTCGTGCTTGAGGGGTCCATCGCCCTCCTGGTTGTTGGATTGGCGGCGTAATTGGTGGGGTGCCTGTGGTGTCTAGCCTACGAGGCAGATGGCTGCAGGGGGTGGTCCTTTCACCGATCGTCCTCCCCCACCGTGTTGCGCTCCGCTCCCCTTTCCCCCCCCCTCCGTGGACCCTCCGTTGGTTACATGGTAGTGATAGTGCTAGTGTGTGGTTAAATAAGGGTTGGTGGGGGTGTTGTATTTAACCCTGGCATCTCCCTGGGTCAGTTATGTGGTGTGGAGTATAGGGGTTCTTCTCGGGTTGCTCTTAGTCTCGTTAGTGGTCTTCCGTAATTGCACAGGCGTATAGGATTTTCTATGAGTAGGAATTTCCCTCCCTGCTCTCTTGGCGGTCATTACAGGGCTATATTGGAATGTAGATGGGGGTTGCCTATCTCTGAGTTTTGTGGCGAGATTTATATGGCCCGCCCTGGCTTAGACCGGTATCAGGTGTGGCATTCTAAATGAGAGTGTTTGCATCGTAGTTCGCAATGTGATGTCCCCCGGTCTGTTGGAAGCAATACGTGATATGCCCTGCAGAGGCTATGGGCATGTGTGTATTCCCTGAGGGTGCGTAGTGGCCCTGTCCGTGCTATCAGCGTGTCCCCAGATGTGAGGGCCCCGTGTGATTGTTGTAGGGGCGTTCCCCGTTATTGCGTGGGTGTGGTGAGGGCTCTATGTCTGGCCTTTGGGGGTCTATCTTGTATGCCCTGAGCTTAGTCTCACATGCTTAGGCTATGGCCGGGCCCGGGTGCGGGGGGAGGTCCCAGTGATGGCTGTATCAGCTTCCGCTGTGCGGTGGCTGGGCCATTCCCTTTGTCTTGGTTAACAACTTTAAACAGTGTAATGAATAACAGATAATAAACAATAAACTGGATACTTAAGGTTTGGAGCTAGATTAGGTTAGGAGAGTCCCTTGTGGTATATTCGGGCCTCCCGTTGTAGCTCAGTTCAATTGTCCATATGGAGTTGTCCTTTGGGTGCGGTGTAGGGTCTCGGCTTGGTCTGTTGTCTGGGCGGACGGGGTCTCAGCTCGCTGTGTCTGCTGTTCTCCGCGGATGGGTCGGCGGTCGGTGTTGGTTGCCGCAGTGAGAGGCCGATGTGGGTGGCAAAGTCCTGCATATCTGTGACTTGATGTAGGGTGTATGTTTGATCGCCCTTTTTGACAAGAAGCTTAAAGGGATGACCCCACATGTATCGCCAGCCCTTCTCCATGAGGGCGGTCGTAAGGGGCTGGAGGTCCCGCCGTTTCTTCAGGGTGGTCGGTGCCAGATCCTGGTAGAAGTGTAGTGTGTGCCCCTGGTAGATTGGGGGGCTGTCTCGTGCTGCTTTCATGAGTCGTTCCTTTATAGGGAAGTGCAGGAGTTTGGTAATGACGTCCCTGGGCGCATTTAGATTGAAGGCTGGGGGGCGCAGGGCCCTATGCGCACGTTCGATGTAGCGCTCCTGTTCAGATGTATCTGGTAGGATTGATTGGAAGATTGCTTGGACCGTGGGTAATATAGCTTCCGGCTGGATTGATTCGGGCAGGCCCCTAATTCTTATATTTTGCCTCCGTGATCTATTATTAAGATCTTCTAGGCCATCCTCCAGGTATAATACCCTTTCCTGTAGTGTCTCAATGGCTCTGGAGTGTTGCGTGGTTGCGGCCTGTGTGTCTGTTAATCGTTTTTCCGTGTGGCTGGTGCGTGAGGCCAAGGCTTCAATATCCTCCTTGAGGCCTGCAATTTGTTTCTCCAGGGCGGCCGTCGTGTAGGCCTTTATGTCGTCCGAGGTCTCCCTGAGCATCCTCCTTAGGTCTTCCTTTGTGAGGGGTGTTTGTTCCTCAGTAGGGTCGTACCCCTCAGAGTCAGAGCCCGATTCTGTGGGGCCTTGTGATAAAGATGGCCGCCTGTCGTCCTTATGGCGGAACATCGTGGCCACAGACGGAGTGGTGTCCCGCCTTTTTTTATTGCCTCCCATGGGGTAGGTAGGTGGAGGGTGTGTGGAGTGGTGGTGGGGTAGATTATGGGGGTAGATCGCCGTGTCTGAGTCGCTGATGTTAGCGGATAGTGATCCCGGGGTCGGAGAGCTAAGGGCTCACACGTCCGTCTCCATGAAGGGTTAGGCTCCGCCTCCCACTAAATTGTGTTTTTAATACACGTTTGTATTTCTGACCTTATAGTGTTTGTGGCGAAACCGACCTCGCCACTGGGCATTGGAGAAGACTGATTGCCAGCCTCCTGCCATGTGACTATGGCTCCTGGGATGTATTGCCCTTTAAAGACATGATTTGGGCATAATGGATTTGTGTTGTGCTGCTGCTGGCCCTTTAAGAACCATCTGGGGACATACTGTGGAGTTACTTGGTGGCCACCATTTCATGTATCAGAGGCACATGGTGAGAACAATGGATGAACCACATGGTGAGAACAATGGATGGCGGCCATTTTAACTCACAGACACTGTTTTGACTTTTCAACACGGTTCCATCTTGCCGGTATTTGGTGCACACAGACATCGTTCAGTAGTTTTAAACTATACAACAGGGGACACATTATACAGTAATTATTTTTCATATAGCCTGTATATGTTCTGCGGAATCTGCATTAAACCATATCTTCCAAACTACTGAACGGATCTGCGTGATACTGCGTGGTATACTTTATGGGGTTATTGCATGTTTTGGGGTCCCTGTGATATGTTTTATACTACTGTATTTCTCTGCCTGTGATAATTATATTAACCATTGTGTTTAGTAATCATATCACAGGCAGAGGGGAGGATTTTGTGTGGGAGTGTCTGTGTGTATTGTATGGATTGATTGGTTGTATTTCAAAACCCTGTGGGCAGTACTATGTTTGTAGAATGTGAATAAAAGAGGCTGTATGTGCCAGTACAGTCAGTTCTACTTCACACTCAATTTGGAGTGCCGTCTCTTATTGGGTGAATCTGCTACAAGGGATTGCTATGCTTGTCATACTCCCTTGCTAAATCACTACTAAGCTCTTGTAAGAGCTTGTTCCTGTCCTGCTCTCTGAAGGAGTCCACGGTGGTTATGGTGTCAGCTGGAGTGCTTGGAGCCCTCAGGAAGCTCTAGGAGCATCCTTCAACAGAGGTACCCAGTCGGGGTGCCAGGCGATCCGTTACAGTGTTCATTTAAGGCAGTATATAGTGTCCTTTATCTTGCAATATTTCACACATTTCACACAAAAAGGGTTGCAAATGGTAGTAGAAAAGCAAAATTGCCATTTTTGATCTGTATAATAGGTGTAACACACGTGCTCACATGAGTAAATAAAGTAAAATCATATATTTCTAAAATTAAAGTATTTAAAACTTCTATCATAATCTTTGTTAATCTCAGGAATGCGAATGTAATGCCAACTGAGAGTCCATTCAATCCTCACCCCTCCCTGACTGTAGAAATTACATGACCCATTTACATTTCCTTTACTGCTTGAAAGCAGGGGTGAACTGACATTTTCAGCAAACTTACATGCATTAAATCAGGGGTCAGGTGCTTCTGATAGAGAATTTTGTTCTTCTACAGGAACATAAAGGTGAGTGAATTACTATGAATAATATTTTATTCTGTAAAATAAATGAATATAAATATTTTACTTGATCTGATAACTGAGAGAAAACATTATGTTGTCAGGGGTCAGGAATTAGTAGTTACTAGCTACTTTGCTTTTTTCTTTATAGTTCAATGTATATTATTATCTGTTGCATCAATTACTCTTTATGGTTCCCAAGTGTAATGTGTCTTTAGCAAAACATGTATTCATCCATCTCTGGCTGTTTCACATTATGTGACTAAAGAATAATGTTACATAAAATATCTCCCCGCAAAAACCCCCAACATATTTATAATTCTGAAACAACATTGTCATGAAGGCAAGATACATGATAATAAAACATGCATTGCGGATGGAGCGCTTGTCTTATGAATACATTATTCATGCTCGGTGCTTCTTTAAGATTTACATTCTCTTATATTTGCTATTTATTTTCAGAAAATTGACCAGCAATAAAAAAATATTTTTTGCTAATACTATTTTACTGAAATTGATTTTGTTACATTACTATTGGCAGTGTTATCGGCATTTATATAGTGTCAACATATTCCACAGTGGAATATATTGATTGATGGAGATGAATGGGGACTGTATGACATGTTTTGCTCAGGGTTTTCAGGGATTAGCCCATTTGTAGGGGAACCCATTGAAAGAAATGACCTTGTTCCATTTTCACTCTTTAACGTTGAAGTTGGTTTCTTTGAGGATATAAAAGTAATATATATGAAATTCAATTCCCAATTACAGGAGACTTCTGTTTTAAATAAAACTATTTCCATAGAAAACCTGCAAGATTATAGAGTTAGTATCAGAGGTAGTGTTTTCATATTCAAAGAAACCAAGTAAACCTTTTGCAAAAAGTCCTGGTTAAAAGTATGACATATTCTGTACTGGGGATAGAGGTAACTTGACTCGACTTGAGTTTGGATTACATTTTGGATGAGAAGATACATCTAGGCATGACTGAAAATACTGACTACTAGAATGGAATGTACTAGGGATGGAGGTAACTCAACTCAACTTGAGATGAGTTTGGATTATATTTTGGATGGGAAGACTGGAAATACTGACTACTACTAACTACTAGCAGGGCCGGTGCTAGGATTTTTGGCTACACAGGCGAAAAATAGCCCCCCCACTCCCCCCCACACACAAATAAGATGTATCTTTAGCGGTGTTTCGTATCCAGCCTTTTGAAATCTCAGTTTAGTGTATTGTACCCCCCTTTAGTGTGTCTTAAACCCCCTTGTATGTCTCTTACAACCCCCCATGTGTATCTCCTTTCCCCTTTGTGTGTCTTTCTTTCCCACAGCCCTTTTCTGTGGGTCTCTCCCCTCAGCCTGTTTTTTGTGTGTCCCTCTTCCCCCTCAGGGCTCTTTGTGTAACCGTTCCCTCCCAAGCCATATAGACAGAGATATATAGCAACACACACATACAGGCACATAGTCACAGAAATATGCACAGTCAAACAATCAACACATACAGGTACACAGACATACAGTCATACAGACACACACAGAGACATGCAGACACTGACATATAGAGAAATGAAGACACAGTTATACAAACACAGACATACAGAGACATGCAGATGCAGGCATACAGATACATACAGGCATGCAGAGACATACATACACAGGCATGCAGGGACATATATACACAGACATAGTCATACAAAGATATACAGAACAAGGCATACAGAGACTGCTATGTTTACATATGGGTTAATCCAGTCTCTAGTGGCTGCCTCATTGGCTGCTAGAGGCACTTCCGCACTTCTCACCGTGATTTTCACAGTGAGAAGACGCCAGCGTCCATAGGAAAGCATTGAGAATGCTTTCCTATGGACTGACTGAATGTGCGCGCGGCTCATGCCGCACATGCACATTCGTCGGAAGAGGGAGGGGAGTCCCCAGCGTCGAGGGAGCCCGGCACTGGAGAAAGGTAAGAGATTTAACCCCTTCCTCTCCCTTCAGCTCGGCAGAAACGAGTTTGTTTTCCTGGCACTATAGTGGTCCTTTAATGTTTTCAGTGTGCCCACAATCCTTTTTGTTTTTGCTATGAAAGTTTGGAATCCAGACCAGATTCCCTTTGGAGTTACGCACCCAGCCCTAGCCCCCACCTTTAGAGGCTACTTAGGAGGTGACCACAGGTGTGTGTATATATGAGGAGTTTTTGGATAATAATGTCACTTTTATTATAACCTTCATTTAGCACACATTGATTTGCATTGTGAGTATATTCATCCACGCACTAACACTTTGATTGTGAAGGTTTGACACTGTTTTTGATTGCTTTTATTACATTAATTCATTAATTTTGTATACTCACAATGCTCTTACAATAGATTAACTTAATCTATAGCAATGCCAGGCTACTCTTTATATAGAAAAGACAGGGAAGGCAAGAAAGGGGGAGGGCTGACCCTGTATGTGAAGGATAGCATAAAATCTAGCCTAATAAAAGTTAGTGAGGCGAACATAGAGCCGTTTGGGTTATGTTAGAATTTGGTAATCACACAGCAACTCGTGTAGGTGTTATTTATAGGCCCCCAGGACAAATAGAAGAGTTAGATAATCTACTAGTTGAGGAAATAGCTAAAATGACAATGAAGGGGGAAGTTATCATCATGGGTGACTTTAATCTTCCTGATGTGAACTGGAAAACCAAAATAGCCGCTTGTTCCAGGAGCAAACATATTCTTTACTCCCTACTGGGATTGTCTCTAAAACAAGTCGTTGAGGAGTCAACTCACAAAGAGGCCATACTATATTTAGTGTTAACAAATGGAGATTGATATTACTGTAGGTGAAAGTTTAGGATCCAGTGATCATAAGTCAGTGTGGTTAAATATAAGAACATTGTTACACCACACAAAAACAAAAGTTTTAGACTTTAGAAAAACAGACCTTTCTAAAATTAGAATATGTATAAAGGAGTCATTATCAGACTGGAGCAATTTAAATGAAGTCCAAGAGAAATGGGAATATTTAAAAGTTGCACTGATGAAGGCAACAGAAAATAGCATTAGGTTTGTAAAAGCAAAAAATTCAAGAAACCACTGTGGTACTTCGCAGATGTGGCCAAAATAGTAAAAAAGAAAGTTAGCATTTAGTAATAGAGATGTCGCGAACTGTCCGCCGGCGAACAATAGCGTGTTCGCGTTGGGCGAACATATCCGATTTCCGGTCCGCCCCCTATACGTCATCATTGAGTAAACTTTGACCCGGAACCTCCCAGCCAGCAGACACATTCCACCCAATCAGCAGCAGACCCTCCCTCCCAGGAAGGGTTGCTGACTGTGAGGTTCCGGGTCAAAGTTTACTCAATGATGATGTATAGGGGGCGGACTGG